ATCAAAAGGCCATGTAAACGCACACCCCTGGCGGGAAGAGAGGAACGGGCGGCTTCTTCGGACCTGAGCGAGAGCGACTGCTAAATCAAGGTCCAAGGTCAGGGTCAAGGTCACGTCAAGGTCACGTCTCGTAGTGAAGAAACTCCACCTCTCAAAGAGTCACAGACAGACAGTCACAGAGAGACACAGTCTCAAACGAGTGACATGACAGCTGCTGCAAGGAACGAAACATCTCGACACGCGCCATTTCTCGAAACGTGCTAGTGCTGGTGCCATGAGAACAACAGATTATTAGTCACGATCGATCAAGAGTCGTTGTGTCACCGATCTTAACAGTGTCCTTATAAGTCAATCCACAAAACTTCAAACAAAAAATGAAGCGAAAATGACGAAATAGTGTCCAATAAACATCACCATCGTCAAAGACAGAACCAAGGCAAAAAAACGAAAAGTAAAACAAAAAACAAAAACCTTTCAGACTCCACTCCAGTGGAATCCGATCTCATTGCACAACCCAATCTCACGATGGCATCAGCTCACGAGGACTGAGCCTCAAGCCCTTGCTCGAGTCTAGGCCCCAACAGAGCAACAGAACAGGGAAGACGGAAACCAGAGGAAAAGAAAAGTTCATGTCGTCATGCAAGCAATCGGCCGATCTGGTCATCTCATTCTCTGTCCCCAGTCTCAATGAAATGAAGCTTGGCATTCTCAGACAGCGCTTTCACTTTTTGGGTCAAGTCTCTCCAGCAGCTCGAAACTGCAAAAAGGGACACCCGTAGAAAAAAGCAACCATAAAAAAATTGCACACGGGGAGCCACGGCTAGTGGACAAAGCCCCTCTCAAGCCTCGAGCTTCAAGTCTAGTAAGTCTGAGCCTTGAGCCCTACGGAGACAGCCATAGGTGTGCCGTTAAACAACCCTCTAGCAGTTTTAGCTCAGCCTCTAGCCTTGGACGGCAAGGTACGTAGCGATAGGCTTTTGTAGATCATGCCCAACTTGGCAGACTGACCAGGTTCAGGCTATTCCTGTCATCCATGACCCAGTGCCTGTCAAGGAGCCTTGATGCCCTAAGCTGATGCACCCGCTTTCAACCTACAGCCAACTCTGGGGATATCTCTTGGCATGATCGATGAATGATTAACAATACCCATAGGATCAGGTCTCCTGTCAGGCTCTGGTGGAGAGCAAGGGATTCGCCTATGCTATTCCCTAGCGACAATGGCTCAGGGGACTGAAAATTCGGGAGCAAGAAAATTTTCATAACTTCAATCTCAATGTTGTCAGATCAGAGTGGTTATTTGACGAATGAGATGGCTCACCTGGCCATTGGGCACGAGGCCACCACTCCAGTCATACCACACCAAACCCAGAAAATGCATTTTCGGTCTTATCGCCCAATTTCTGAATGCGGCTGGCTGTGTTCGTTTTGTTGGTTGCCTCTTACGATCCTATAAAGCTGAATTGCATGAGACGACCGGAGGATGTACCCGAAGCCCATTCGTTGTTGATGCTGCAAGACACATCGCTTCCCGTTACAGCACAAAATGGTGATACTCAGCAGATGCTCCGACCGACCCAAGCCGGCATGCATCGGCAAGTACAATTTCTCAACTCTTCAGCTTGTCGGGAAATTCTTTCCCTGACGAAGAATAGTAATCTTTGCTGGCTTTAACGACCAACATTGCCTGCTAGCCTCTTGTCCAAGCTCTTGGACCCTTGAAGATACCACCGTCTACGGTGCTCGCGTCATCCCAGACGGGCGATCTGCTAGTAGTTTCTTTTTCGTCGATCGAGTACTTGTCCTGCAGCTTAACTTAGCGCAGCGATCGAAGGGACAGCGGTAATGTAATTAATTGTTCTTCCACTTCATGAGCTTCTTTGTGCGCAAATTCTCTGCGGCTTGGCTAGACCTTTGTCCAACTCTCACTTGAATACCGCCACTGCGCTTCGCACGGACTTCGTCAGGAATAGGGGCTGGTAGACCAAGGCCACGAGCACCTACCAGAGAGGGGCTTGGACAGCCTGGTCGGAGGGTGAGGTGATCGGTGAGCCCACCATCAACAGCACCACCAGACCACGCCAACCTTCAATATTTCTTCAATGGAGTTTTGAATCCTTGCAACAGCTCGAACACCCCCAGCTGAGATGGTTCGTCTGCTCTGGTGATGTGCTGCACCAACTTGTAAGTCCTCATCCTGGACTGGGGCTCGATGTGACTCTACAAGTCCTGAATGGCTGGACAGGACTGCAGCTGAAGCTGCGCAGCTCCTCGATTTGGGATGACAAAGAACGCCACAAAATCTCAACACGGAAGTATATTGCTTATTCTTTTGTGAGTTAATCTCATTTGGGATTGCTGACCTGCAGCCTTGAGCGAATCGATGAAAAGAATGCAGCTTTCGGATGAGGCTGGCTCTCTCCCCAGCGGTTCGCTTACACCAGGCAGCTGCTGAGATGTGAGATTGGTAGCGCAATCTTCGTCGGTGCGATCATTGTGTTGCTACTGTGTGTCTATTCCCATACATGGGAGAACTGCTAGGAGGAACCGGGCTTCCCGCAATCTTGTCCATTATCCATACCACGTAGTACGGATCAACTCCTAAATGAGATTGAAGGATATGGACTTTACAACTTGAGCCTTTTGAGTTAGCGGATAAACGAGTTCCCTGGTTCCCGCGTGGCCAGTGCATCGAGCCTCGTCCCCTGTCTATTGGTTTTGTAGCGTTCTTTGTTGTTCCTGATGCCATCATGTATTGAGTATGGCGTAGGTTACGAAGTAAGCCAACGGCGAAAACCTTTGATACTCAATAATTCTCGGCGTCGACGGCTGACAACAAAATTCTGTGCTCAATTAAGGAAAGCTCACCGTTCTAGGCCGGAAAGTTTGGTTAATAGAGTTCATGACCTGGCTGCGGGCTGGGCGGCTGGAACCGTGTCCGAAGACCAAATCCATGGCTCAACTTCCAATCTGGTCGCTCTGTCCGACGAGCTAACAGCAGGCATTGCTAATCTCGGACGAGCTGATGAAATCGTGGGGGGACCCTTCGGCTGTTTATCTTATCAAAAAAAGGTACGATGGAGACTTGATTGTGTGATGAATCTGCATCATATGCGCCATATCTTTGTTGATGCAGCTGCGGGCGCTCAAGTGACGACAGATGCAACCCGAGTTATCTGGATAATGGATATTCACTCAATTGAGTGGGGGCATCACCACTTGAAAATCCGTGATTTACCTCGGCCATTGATTGAAGCAAAACTTGAAGTGACTACTCAACACCTTCAAGTGTCATCGTCGCGCTTGATCACCCATGCGCTTGGGGACAAATCGTGAGATCATCGCTGTTGTGTGAACTTCTAATTCGGCCATTTATCCCCGCTGCTCCTCAAAAATGCACCGTGGTCTTTCGGGTAGCAAAATCGCTGTAGCATCGTAGAAATTGTAGGCCGCTGGTAGAACCTTGATTTGAGGCCTTGAAAGCCCGAATGAAACCTAACCAGCACAATTGCCGCGACATGCCGAGTAAAATTGTTGATTGGCGAACAACATGGCCATTGTCTCCCGCCAGGCGATTAATAGGCAATATCTTGAGCATGTTACGTTTGATTGCGTCTTCAATACATCGGATTGGTGGATATGTCAAAACTGCCTCGAAACGATGTTAGATAAGACTTGACAATGAGACCCAGCCAGGCTTGTTTCAGAGAGTGCAGGATACGCAATGTATCACTGAAAGATTATGCATGTTTGCTATCTTCGACCAGGCCCCGATGTCGTCGATTCCACAAGAATCTGGGGAAATAGTACTGGCGTCTTGTCAAGCTTACCTCGAAGGGAACCAATGTTGACAACATGCACCCCAGAGGCAGTATTGATCCGCTAGTGCCAGAGACCACAAACTAGGAGCAACGAAATGGGCGTGATACACGACGATGCGACCTTGTTGTTTTTGAAGAGGTTGGAATAAGTGGTCAGGCGGCAGAAACAGGACGGGGATGCGGTTGGATGGAGTGCAGATCAATGGTAGAGAATGATTCGCTCCAAGCCCCTGGTCGTATCCGCCCCCAGACGCAGGCATGATCGAAAAAGGAATGGCTTTGCTGAGAAGTACAAGAGATCAGCAACACATGGCTCTGAATGCTGGTGTTAGTTGATGATCACGATAGGCCGGTCATTGTCAATCTCGCTCCTCTCAGCAGTGCAATTCCCGGTGAACCTGGGGTAAGACGCTGAACGCACAGGCTGGTTTGACTCGTAACGCCTCAAGGTTCCTTCAGGTCATCGACGCTTCAACTGACACAAGCGCTACTTCAGGAGACGGACGGGCTGCGGACATGCTCTAAAACTCAAGCAGAAAGACGACATACAGCAGGGTAAGACAGTAATGGAATACAATAGCCAAGTGCCTGGCGGTTGGTCTCTGCTTAATGATGCCAGTTGTGCATCTATTGAGGTGCGCATATCATTCTTGGTGCCATTCCTCGAGGCAATTCGGATTAGGTGTAGCTTGTGCTCTGATACTCTGCTGCACGACAACCACTCGGGCACTTTAGAAATGTAAAAAGCCTCGCGAAGCCTCATTGAGACCAGCCTATGGTGGCTTGTGGCGATGATATGGAGAATTTTATTCTCCTTTGCAGAATCTACAGCGAAAATCAAGGGTCCAGTGTGGTAGATCTCCTATTGTTGATCGGGTCATGGTCGAGAATAACCTTGAAATGTTTCGGTGGCGAGCTGCACGGATTGTAAGATATTGTAACCCAAGACTGTTGGTTAAGGTTGCTGGTTTCAGTAACGGTCGCCTCCTCAAGGTAAGATGGCGACATTGAACCATTACGGTTGATAGGAGCTTGATGGTCATTGGCTTGTTGGCTATCAAGGTGCAAAAACTGGGCCAATGGTGTGATGGACTTCATGCAGAACGACAGAAGGTTGATAGTGGGAGAGCGGCAGTCAAAACTGTTGTCGAATGGTACGGGGTACTGCAGATATTACAGCATCCGTAAACCCGGTAGAGGACTCTGAATGGTCGATTGCTGTTCGGGACGCCCATTCAGGAAGCTGACCTAGGTTCCATACAGGCCTGACGCAGTCTTGGAGAGCATCAACATGCAATTCGTTACCACATGGCGTCACTCTCATTTCCTGTAGCATCGAGCGTTTCGAGCGTCTCACAAAGTTCGATTGCGTGTCTGCTTAGCTCTTGCTCGAGGTTGCTTTGGTCGTCATGTGGTTTACTGTGAGATGTATATGAAGTTGCGTCTGGTTATGAACTGCAGCATTGACTGAAAGGCATAGAAAGTTCGAGTATGAATGAATGTCTATGGTGTGTCTGTGCTTTCACACTATTTGCCCACTGTGCAACGCATTCGAGCATCGATATCTTAAACCCTCCTATTCCGGAGTCACGACAGGGACTAGCCATTGCTAACGATCTTGTACGTTGTTGAGATTGACAAGGCTAGCTTGATTGACCCTGAAAGGAGAGCACAACTCAAAGAGCACGTTGTCAATGTTTGTGGTTATTTTGCGTGCTTGAGGTGGAGAAAGATGTGAAGTGAAGTGAAGCAGCTAAAGTGGAGAGAAATGGAGATGGGAGACGGCAGCAGGGATGTGGGGAAGGGGGGCATTGAAACAGCTATGCCTTTACAAGCTTAGAACAATAGCACTAAACTCATTGCGTTGCTCTTGCGGGCGCACAGCTGTTGTGTTTCTGCCTGAGGCCTTTATTCTCCTTGGCCAGTCCGTTCCATTCCTGTGGGCCGCTGTGTTAGAGTCCATTTTGAAGCATTGGGAAGCATACAGCCGCTAAACAGATTGCACTACGCTGCAGTAGCAGCAGCTTACAGCAGAAGGATAGAGCATCAAGCAGCATAATACAATATGAGCAAGAGACCAACAGGGAGTGCATCAGTACTCGCTTGTAACCCCCTCCCCAGACTCGACCTTGACCACGAATATCACCCATTGACCATTCATGAGCGGGGTGGTCACTGGGCCAAACAGAATGCCAACAATAAAATCCCATGAAGAAGAGAATTTACGATGCTCGACTTGGAAGCAGGCCACTGTCGAACAGGCCTCGCACCACGGAGAGCGGAGGGCACGGGGGTCGAACACCCTTTGCGCAGCACAACCTTTCGTCTTGCGGGGAGAGGGGACACTTGGGGCACTCCGAAAGCTCCAGCAAGCGGGCAGAACCGTGCAGAATTGCACGGTAGGTAACGGAAAACAGAGGCGAGCAACAGCCCACTGCCCACCTCCGGTGTCGCTATGGTGTTCATGGGCTCAGTCCCCAGCGAAAAATCTCGGCTGATGCCTTCGCGGTGCCATCCGGGACCCCCAAGGCCCCCGTTGAGAACCCATCTGAGTCACCTCATCGAAGCTCAATATGGGTGATTAGTCTCGTGGGCATGAACTGAGTATAATTGAATCATCGAAAATTTTTCGTCTATCCATCGCAATCTCGTAGCCTTTCTTGGCCAAGTCGGGAAGGGCAGGGAAGAGCAAAGCAGACATAGTCAAGTCAGCCAGCCAATGTCTCCAGTAGAAGAATCACACGCCTGTGTCTGGTGTCTGAATGTCTTGGGTCCTTTGGTCTTGGAGGCTTGTCTTGTCCTCCTCTGCCCTGCTACAGTCTACAGCCCACAGCAGCAGGCCTGGAGAGCAGTGAGAGCTCACTGAAGGACAGGGCACCTCTTTGATCTCTGCATTGGATCTCCACTCCTCTGGCTATTGCTGGCACTCCCTCTCCAACACTCCCTGAGGGTGAGACACCCAGGTGTGTCTACCACACACCCAGTTGAAACGAGAGCAACCCACACCCGGCGGGCGTCCCATCAGAGTCCAAGGTGGACCAATTTTTCTTGTACGTACCTGCTTCTATTGGATCCTTGCCTGCACTAACATCGTTGCTGCAGGGCATTGAGAGCGGCAAGGCCCCCACCTGTCTGCAAAGCTCCACCAAGACAAGTACGTATCGATGGAGCAGTGGTGTGCCTTGGTACCCTCCTCCACAAATTCCTAGGCAATGTACCTCTAGCGCCATCCTGGTCGTGCAACTGATCATCGACCAAGGCTGTGCCTGGGCCACTGACCAAGAATATACATAACCCTTCCCCCCGAACCTCTTGACCTCTGATCTCCTCCACCATCATCTCGACTCTTTCACTTCGCAATCCTTTCAATTGCTTCTTCTCCGTCTTGAACTATTAATCTCACTCGACATCACCTGGATATAAAGGAGTTTTCACTTCTCTGCCTCTTGGGTTGATCCCTTAACACACCTACCACTCTTCCTTCTCAACAACCACATACACCACCGCAGCCATGGACTTCGATTCTTGGGCTCACTCTTTCTGCCTCGCTTGCGACAAGCAGGTCCAATCATCAACTGATGCCTACTGCTCCGAGTCTTGCAGACTGGCCGATTTTGAGAAGACCTCAACGACAAGCTCTCAAGCCAGCTCACCCGGTCTCGCTTCTCCTCCTTGCCAATGGTCATCGAAATCCTCTAGCTCGGGCTTCTACCTCTCCCCCGCCTACGATTTCTCCAATGCAAAGCCATACGGATCAAGGCACATGAGCCAGCCTACCTTCAAGCCTTACGGCACTGAACAGCCAACTGTCCGATCCCTCACTCCTTCGAGCTCCCACAGCAGCCTCTGCTCCATGCAAAGCACCTCAACAACAGGAGAGTCAAGTCAATTGTCAGACAAGACGAGGAAGGAACTCCGAGCGTACGCAGTGTCTTTCGACAATGTGAGGACTCAGCGAAGGCGATCATACTAAGCACGACACCACAACGACATCACTCATACACACGCAACCTCATCTAAACATTACCTAAACAACATCTAAAAACATATCAGCACGCAACTCATTCAACATCTACAACATCAAACGCATCAACGAACCTCAACTCACACTTCACGCCTTTTTCTTTTGTCTTTATCGAAGAATCTGTTTGTACCAAAGAAGGGCATTACACCGGAGCACTGCATTAAAAAAAAAGTTTATTTTACATCGACCCATCACGATTTCTTTTCATCTCAACCAATTTCTGGTGAGATAATCTAGGGCGGTTTATTGTCCATCGGTATCTTGTACCAAATACAGGGCGGGTTGATATCATATCAAGTTTCAGAACATGGATTACGGGAGCACGGGAGGTTTACCATGATACCGGGATACGAACGGCTGGGGACATTTGGGTCTGGCGTACAGGACCGACCAGGCAAGAAGCCGGTCGATGGATTATTTTATTGGGAGGTATAACTGCGCTTTTTGACTACGGGGCACTGGGCATTGACAGGAACTGCGGAAGACTGCACTACACTGCACATCATAGCACATCATTGGATACCATAGCATAGTATAGCCAAAGAGATTTTTTTTCTCCCTCCACACAAAGCAAGCCAAGTTTCCAGAGTATGAGTGTGCATAATTCCCCGTGTTTCGTTTACTCGCCCTCGAGTGTCACCCTACTTGGATGGCATAATCGATGGACATTCTTAGTCTCATACATAGGCACAACACATCGACACTACGTGGGTAGAATTGCTTTTCTCGGGGGTTTTACAACCAAGCTCACAGTCACCGCAAGGAGAGACTGGGATGGATCGACTTTTCATCTACAGTGACTCAGCAATTTCGGCTCCACGCATCTCAATGTTAAGCAAGGAGAACCCAAGTTTCAACGGCATTATAATCTGTTACCATGGTCGAAGCTAAAATTCTACAGCTAATTAAGTTACTAAACGGATGCGCGCGCGCGGCGAAGAGCAAGGTTATCCGCCGGTAGTTCCAGACAAACTCTAATGATTGAGTAACAGCAAAGAAGATTTGCATCAGTCAGAAGACAATACTAGCCTAAGAGCCGCTTTCAGCTCCGTTCCCCAGACTTGATATGAAAGCTTGGCCGGGACTACTGTGAGCCACAACAGCTCCGATAGCCGGCCATAACCCCCTTGCTTCTGGAGACAGCCTGACTAACAATCTTAAAGATTCAACATCCTCGTGGATATCAATTAGCATGATTTTTGTTTTTCGCCTCGCCGATGAACGGGGCCTCATGAAACCGAGATTCGCAATTTGGGTGTCATGCGGCTCAAAAGTCAAAAGGCAAAGTTTAGTCAGAGCTTGTTTTGAAACCCGAAACGTGCTCGTCTGTTAATATGATGCCACCACGAAAATGAAAAGAGTACGTATCGTCATATTGCAACCCGAAGTTATCCATTGTTGTGATATCGTAAGCCAAGTCAATCGTTGAAGCTAAGTAAACTCTACGATACACCCGCTTGGTTGGTAGTGGTAGGTAGTAGCCGACCTCTCTCATCAAGTTGCCCCCTGGGGATCCCGTTCATGCAACCATCATGTCCCTTGATAGGGATAAGGGAGCGAGCGATATGAGATCGAGACTTGGGCCGATAAAGCACGGAAAGGTTTTTCCTCCAACACTTATCAAACTTTAGCCCAAGCCAGTCCAGAGCTAGAGTCTGACAAGATGACTTGAGCACTATTAGTCTATCTTAGTATGAGATGAAGCCCTATCATTTTGTCACCTGCCATCGAGAGTCTTCCCAGTGACATTGAACAAGATTTTAGCTTCCCGAAAACCCGGTTACTAAAAAGGTACAATACGGGTCCAAATGGAGCAAAGGGGGTCGGTCAGTTGTTCTCTGAACATCATGATCATTGCGGGCCGTGAATCAACTTAGCTCAAGGTTTAGGCTTAGATGGAGACTCAATAACTCCTGGATCGCTTCTGCCAGCGCATCCTCCATCTTCATCGGCGATTCTCGACTGAATTTGATGATCTGAGTTACAACAGGTCCTCGCACGTGTGCAATAAAGGAAAATTTTATGGTGGATTGGCATTGATCATGTCTGCGCATGGTTTTTTGTTTTACAATTAGGGGACCCAAGAGCTATGACCCTGAAACAAACAATCAGCCAGCCCAATATTGAGAAAAATTTTCACATCTCTTTGTTCTGCTGTTGGGATTGGATACCATCTCAGATTTTAGGTGAAATTGATGGGCGTGTAAAAAGATCCTACCAAAAGCCTTGCAAGGGCATCTTGAAGAGTTGCCACCTCCAACCAAAATGGACATGGCGCATAACTTGTTTGGCATGGAAATAGAAGAAAGAGTACGTACCGAGATTTGCATTGGTCGGCTCAGATCGACATCATTTTTCGGCAGGGTCCGGTCATCGTGAGATTCACTTCAAATTTTCAGGGCAAAACCTGCAGTCTCCAGCTTTTCCAGTCTCGTGTCTGGGGGATCTGACGCTAGAGGTGTAAAAAAAGAAGATACAGGTACAGATACGAGAAGCACGATAACCCACTCTGTTTCTTCTGTCTGCCCATTATCCTGTGATATCCGATGCTGGGCGGTTGATGAGCTGTTTTTGTGGTGGAATTGTTTTTTTCTCGGCAGATGGCGAAACAATGCGTCCATCCATTGCCAGCCAGCCATCTATCCATTCACTCACTGTACGGTTCATCTCGCTCGCTTGCTCCGGCAGTGAAACCCTAATATTCCGGCATCTCAACCGTGCTTGCTTGCTTTGCTTTACTTTCCTTTTGGGTCTGCATCAGAATCAATAACAAGTGGCATAATATGGAGCAATGTGGGCTGTTTCGGGAGTATGGAGTCTTTTTCCCTGCTTCACTTCAACACATCATCACAATCTTAGTCAGTCCTGTTGGTTGGTATGTGCTAGACTCTAAGCAACTGTAGGGCTCTTGCTTTTTCGCACTTGCATTCGAATCTATTTCCATCTCGATCGATCACCTCTTAGAACCAACGCTTAGAGGGAGTGTTTTGTCTTTTCCTCCGTCCTTGGTACCTGACCCTGATGCCTTAGACTACGTGGCAGCCTCTGTACTCTCTACTCTGGACATGTCGAAACCCTGTACCTGTCTGTGCCTGGCTATCATGCCTGACCCCTGGAAAGGAAAACTTCTCTTTTGATCGGCGGGCTCGGGCCGGAGGTTGCGTCGCGCTGTGGATGGATGAGATGCGCTGTGTGTTATGCTGACTGTGTTGTGTTGCTTGTGTTGCTTGTGTTGCCGGAAACCTCTTTCTATGTGACGTCGGCCCGCGCCAATCCTGGTTCAACCCTTGCTTTATTGTGCCTTGCTTGGTTCAAGGAACATCATATCACATCAAGTACCTTGGTCCTTGATCTTGGTTTTGCCTGCTGTTTCGGCCTGCTCCGCTAGGCGTGTCAATTCCATCTATCCATTTGGATGGAGCCTGTGTAAGTCGAATTGAAGTGAGGGATAACTTTGCCTCATACAAAGAAAATGCAAGGTTACAGAGTATCCATCGTGGCTTTGCATTACTTTGCTTTGCTTTAGAGCACGCACAATGGACTTTGGTACTGCCAAAGCACGGCATTTGCACAACTGTCGATATTGACCAGTACCATCTCAATGTCTTGAGCAATTTGTTTTTGCTTTTTATTTCAAGCGTCTCAGCCAATTGAACTCTCAGGAAGTCCCGGGTATCATCTCGGCATTCTTTGTCTCTGAGGCTCTATAGGACGATTATGATTAATCGTCATGACAGGGTAACATAGGCTGATGTTTTAGGAACAAAACAATAGTCTCTTTATTTTTTACTCTCTTCACATTCCAGGACAAAGTCAGCGAGCCACTTTCAATGGAGGTCTCACCAACAGAAAATAAAATTTTTTATCTTGCTATTGTTCAATGGCTTCCGGTTCGTCGCTTGGTTCGGGTCCCTATCCTGTCAGCGGTTGAGGTGTGACAAAGGCAGGGCGGCTGTGATACGTGAACATCCATGTCAATTGTTGTGCAACGCGATACACATGCCTCTGGCCAAAAGAGGATATCGCACTGAAGTCACCGAAGAGAGGATGAATCAGCCTCTATCCGTACAAGGAAGGGAGTTCTCAACAACTCGTTAACACGACATCAGACTATACCAACACCCTTCTTATCCCTCGTCTTCATCCCTGAGCTGTCTCCAAGGAGAACGCGTTCCCTTTGTCCTGTATCTGATGCCAGAATTGGGAAACATTCGGGTACCTTTGGTGTGGTTACACCACGTGGAATCATGCCCACCATCAGCAACTGCGGCTCAAAG